TGCTATTGATGAGATGCATGCTTTGATGCAACGCTTCATGTTGCACTTTCCACACCCTCCTCCTCCTCATTGAGAACTGTGAGTCTCCTCCCCATATTTTGTTATAAATCATTGAGGCCAATGTTTAGTTCAAATGTGGGAGGATTTAGTTATTGCATTTACTTATTGTTTTGGTTTAGTATTTTATTTCTTTTTCTTTTTGCATTGTTGTTTTGCTATTTTGCATTGTTGTTGAGTTAGTAGTGCAGGATCATGGTATTGTTGTCCAGACAGGTGATAAAAATTGGTGACAGTGGATGAGAAGATCATGTCATTTATTGTGCTTGTTACGAACAACCCCCGAAAGTTGATACCGCCAAATGAGTGATCGGACGTAACTATCAAGAGCTGGCCGACAAAGGTAACTTATGCATCCCGAGCTGAGTGGAAAGTTACACCAAACTGAAAGGTATTATGGAATATGTCAACTTTACCCAACAATGTAAGGTCATAGAAAGCCAAACATGTATTGATTCATCATGAGAGCTAGTCGGGTATGTCTCTATCACTCTTTGTGTGCGTTCTAGTTGATTATAATTGCAATATGACACACACTGAGGCACGTTGTTTCGATTGTACCCCTGAGCCTTTCTAGCCATCCCATTGTAATGTTTATCCATTGTTAACCCCGTTGGGCTTGTATCCAATTTTTGTTTATCACCGATTATGATAACCCATAGCCAAACACTCCCTACCTTACTCAGTTCAGTGTTGTTTTCTTGAATTTGTGCTAAGCTCCAATTTTAGGGTAGTAACACCTAGAGAAAATAGGTAAGTGCGGAAAAAAGAGAAATCTTGAAAAAATTATTGAAAACACTTATCAAAAAGAAGAAACTCATTTAAATTGCAAAAAAAAAACGCTCAAAAGAAATACTTGAGTGAAACTGAAGAACCCAAAAAAAAACTTGAAAAGTATGTGTTCGAAAATCCCATTGGTTAAACCATACAAAAAGAAGCACAAAGAAGAGAAGAACAACACTGATGTTGAGCCCAAAACCCGTTATTTTCCATTTTTCGTTGTTTATCCTACCATACCTAAGCCCCATTACAACCCGAAGACCTCAAAAAGTGTGTATTATGTGTATGTCAAATTAATTTAGAATGTATTCAAACTCCTGAGTTGATATTGCATATTTTGAACTATGAGTGAAAACACTAACCCCAAGAGACTTGGTGAGAGTGAAAGATAGGTTGACAGGTGAAGTAGTGTATTGATGAAGGTGCAACAGAACACTCGATTCGGGAAAGTGGAGAACTTTGGAAGGAAAGTAATAGCATGTTACGAAAGATCTCGATGGTATTGTAGTAAGTTGATAATTTGGGGTGTCCGATTCTATTTTTCCTTAACATTGCTTGAGGACATGCAACGATCTAAGTTTGAAGTTGTGATCGATCATAATTTTCATCATATTTTTGTTACTTTTCTGACGATAATCCAGGTATTCTGCATTATTTTGTGTCGTATTTTACTTCTCTTTGAATGATTTCACATTTCTTGAGTTTCTCCGCATTTTATGTTTTCTTAAGTTTATTTAAAGTTATTTCTCATTTTATGCGTTGGTTGGTTGTTGCGAATGTTTCAGGTTCATAGGAAGGATCTCAGGTACTCGGTACGAGAAAAGTCGAGGAATCAGAGGTCTCGAAAAAGTTTTAGCAAGTTACAGCAAGTTTGACATGGCCACCTATGTCACCTGGCACGGACTGTGTCAGGCAGAGGAGCACATGAAGAGATAAAAGCCAGAGTTCCAACACGGCCACCAGTGTCACACGACACGGGCCATGTCAACCATGTTGGGACTTAAAAACTCGTGGGGGATGGACAGATGACCAACACAGTTGGCCGTGTCGCTTGACACGTGCCGTGTTGGTCCAAATGCTGAATTTTTCTGATTTTCTAATTTGACTCTAAGTGAGACCCAGAAGGGCGTTTTGGACATTTCGAACTGGGAACAATTGATTCTGACTATTTGAGGCGGTTTTGACAACCAAACGAGACACTTTTTGGAGATTAGAAGAATTCTACGATAAAAATTGGAGTTTTTAAGGGATTCGGTGCACAGAGATTTTTCAAGAGCAATCGCGATTAAAGATCGACAGAATCCAATTATCTTGTAACGTCTAACCTTCTTATTATAATTTCTTTGAATATTATGTGCGGCTAAACCCTCCAATCCTTATTTTGCTATGTAATGACTATGAATTATTGATTTTCAATCCAGTAGTTTCCTTTCAATTTAATCGTTCAAAGTTTTTAATGCTTTCCTGATCGGACCAATTAGGATTGATCTACGATTAACAATTAGGACTGGATCGCCGTTGTTAAGGTTTCTTGATACGATTAAACTATATTAGATATCACCTAGGACTATGGATATCATATAGTTATCGGTGCAATCTTGATAATATTGAAGGCTTGGTAGCATCGTAATTTTCTAAGGACTTAGATATTAGGATGGTTGACCAAAGATTTTCCCACTGAGGATCGGGAGAAAACAACCTAAAGATCCGGTAGTTACAGGTTATGAACTAGTTGACGAGATCAACAATCAGGATCATTATAGGGCAAATCACACACTTATCCCTAACTTAATATTCATACTAGTAAAAAAGATCATAATTTACATTCTGTTATTTTCATTATTGTTAAGGTTAAATCCAAAACCAAAGCAAACGTTAAGATTTTGTTCAATTAAATCACGCATTAAACTCGGTATTATACGCAATCCTCGAGATCGATATCCGGAGAAAATTCCCTTTTATTACTGCAAGGCAAAATAGTTCACTTGCTATTTTTCCTATCAAAGTGTCCAACAGATTTCAAAAAAACAGTCTAATATAATGTTATTGAACAATACATCAAATGTTATTTCACTAAAACACACCTCCAATCAACCAAAAACTCGAGCACTTTCAAGTATCAAGCAATCAAATAAAATTCAAAATATATCATAACTACATTTTACCAGCATTCATAGAATGAAAAAATGGATTGCACCTAACTTTATTTCATGAAAAACCACTAAACATTCTTCAAAAAAACATGACGTCATTATCAACAAAATAAAAGTTTACATATTGTAGAGCCCCTTGTGCATGAAGATAATTTCAGTAACCTTTCGTTCTTTGTAAGGTTGGTACTGTTAATTGTCATGGTTTCTAGTACTCGTGAATGATTCATAATATATTTTACAAATTCAAACTCACATGCTGTGTCTCTGTAACCTCTAATCAAACATGTTTTGAGCTGTGATGAAAGGCATTCTGGAACAGTAATGATGGGTGGATCCTTCCAATGTTTGTACTTAACATTCAATGCATCCATACCATCCTGTCAACAGTTCACATAGTTTAGTTTTTAAGAAGTAAGATACATGAAATTCAATACAAAAATTGGAAAAGAATTATATAATTCTAAACATAAACCAATCTTGAATGATAAAATGTTGAAGTTTAGGAAAATATGGGAGTATTCCTAATAACATCGTGCACTTTATAAAGCAAAGCCTAGTAGCATGATAAACCAAGTTCCAGGTGGGTCAAATTGTGAAACATGGGAAACTCTATGCAACAGACGATCCACAAGGTCTACATAAATTGCACAAAAAAACGTTAGAACGATAAACTTTCTATGTTCCATATGTTTGGCAAATTCTAGCAAGATTACTAAGAAATTATCTAAGAGATTAAAGGTAGTGCAGTGATTGTCATTCAATAGAGATTCATCATTCGGTCATGTCACACAACTCACTTAAAAATATCAGTATTATTTGATAGAATACATGTTGTGATTGATTGATAATGTAAAATTTTACAGTGTGAGTCGAACTAGTTTGAAACCATACATGTTTTACGTATAAATAATTGGCCTTAGAAACCAAAGACAATGGAGTATAAAAATCACAAATCCTTACTTTGACTAAATTAGGTAATACAATTGAGGACATGTAACTCCGTTTGCAAATTCTCAAGAACGGGAAACCCT